AATATAATTCTCCTCTCCTCCCTCCACCTTTATTCTCCTCAATTTAAATAAAAAGTAATACTACTCCACCCGAGCATATTTATTTTTCTCCTTTTCTCAAAAGGCAGATTCTCTCTACGGCTACCATCACAAGATATATTCTAAAGACAAGATAAAAACATAGCTTTATGATTGCTTATATATTTTCCCGACATGATCATATTTTTGCTTTTACTCTAACACGAAGGAAAATGACCAGTGATCCATGTTTGTAGCCCTCCTCCAGATAATATGGCCTCATAATAGAGATATAACACAAGATGCAACCATGTCATAGTGCGCCTTGAATCAGAAAATGATTCAGTAACATCAGAAAAGTGACCCTATAAATTGGGTACAGAAACGTCCATGGCCATTCAGCAAACACATATACTATCATTTTGCGGAGGACAGAGTTACCAAACCATTGGAAAAGTAGGAGTCCATTAAAGGAATCTATCATATGCCTAAAGTAGATACGTTTACAATACAATTTTCACATAAAGAAAATTCCCACAACCCAACCAGAAGAATCAAGGGGAACATAATATCTAAGAATTAAAAGAGAGGGCGAAGTTGTGTAATCATTACTAGTTCCCGATTCTTCCTACATTCACGGTGGCACAAAGAAAAATTTGTTGGACAAAAAAGGCCTCAAAAGAATATGGTAAAACTTAAAGAAAGGCAATTAAAACCATTACTGAGTTAATTTACTTTCTTGTATATGCCCCATGCCAAAATTCAATGTGCTACAGAGCCATGTCACCAGGTAAGAGAGACAAACAGTCCTTACGGTCAGATCTTCCTAATCTCCAACACAAAACCTGGAAGTCAAAAATTCACTATATTAAAAAATGAAGCCAGTATCAGATATTATTTGATGTGAACCTATCTAAATTATTTCAAGAACCAAATACTAACTATAACCTTCCTTTTCAATTCTGGCATGGCAGAATCTAGCAGTTTATTTTTCATCCTAATTGGATCCTGGTTACACTACATGGGAATGTTTAGCTGTTTCTTAGAAAACTAGGCAAGGCATTCTCATGCACAACTTCAAAGACCTCGAAATGGGAAAGGATATCTGTGAACTTCTGCTCCATTTAAAACTTCAATGTCTTTGATCCCCTTTACCAAATGCATTTAACCATCCTTTCCTCACCTTAAGTATGCCTTGAATGCTGCTCGAACTGAATGTCTTGAAAGAACCTACTGATGTGGCGCAAGCACTGCCAACAAAAAAGAAGGGAGAGTTTGAAACAAGTCAGGACTAAGGCATAATAAATCATAAAAAGCCAGTAAAAGTAAAATGATATCACACATGTTTATACAAATCAAGATTGAAAAGGCAAATCAAAAGCATTTGATCCAAAATTACAACTTCCATACTGCCTAAACTATTGTTTAAGACTGAAATAATGCAATCTTAGGCTACAATTTGATCCAAAAGACAGAAGTTTAAAACTCAAACAATTTGATCTACATCACAATAATTAATGCAATCTTAAGCTGCAATGTATACAAAGCATCAAAAGTTAATAGCCCTCTCTAGTGTTAATAGCCATTATCAAAAAACATCTAATAAGCATGGTCTTGTTAAATTTCAAATCACAATCATATCTAATCAATTCCAAAAGATTAATAGTATTAGTCTTTGAAAGGAATAGGAAAAAAAAAAAGTATATGGCACTTTTATCAACTTAATTTAAAAAACATGTACCTAGATCTAAAGAGCAAAGAAACTAAAACAAGTTGCAAAAATCTCCCTCCCATCTCTCAACAGTTGAGAAAACAAAATTTATGGTGTTCCCATCAATGCCAGAAATGAAAAATTATAGCTAATGATAGAACCCATGTTGGGGGGGGGGGGGAGAAGAAAGAAGAATTTGTAAAAACAGGAGTTAGATGAGTCCAAAAAGAAAAAGAAAGAAAAAAGGGAGTTAGAGATGGCATTTCAGAAACAATTAATCACCAGAGACAAAATTTGGATTATCACACTGTCCCAACCAATGCTTTTAGGCTGACGGAGTTCCTTCATTATTCGTACCCCACTCTTCGTCAGCCTCGTTACCATTAACGAGTACCGCACCATCTGTTGAATCAGCATCCACGACAACAGCTTCCTCTTGGCTCCCTTCTTCTCCATTTTGCTCCTCTGCATCCTGGTTGTGTCCATTTTGTTCCGTCTCCTGTGAGTTAAAAAGCAAAACAAACAAAAGAGGATACACAAGTTAATTTATGTAGAAGTCAACAACTATCTAGGAGGTTAATTCAAAGTAGTCTTGGGATCCAACATGCTAGCCATCACAAAGGAGAAAGATACATCTGCAAGATATACCTCATGATCAAGATCTCCATTTTCAAGGGGTTCCTCATCCTCTATTTGCATATTTCTGAAAGCCTCCACAAGTGTCATGCGTGATCTATCAACTTGGTTCACATAGTACTCTGCAGGAGGATAACTGCTTCTGAAAAGCAATTGAAAGTTAAAATTCATATCCAGGAGCAAAGAAATGAAGAGGTATAAAGTAATAAAACAGAGCTATTAGAAAAAATAACAAAAGGCACAAACTTTTCAGAACAATAAGTTTTAGCCTGACCACTGCCTATGTTTCAGTAAATAAGGGAAACAAATTCAGGAAAAGGATTTTATCCAAAAATTGAAGTTTGAATATGCTAAAGATTTTCTAAAAAAAGATCCAGAAAACAACACCCAACAAGAATAACAGATCGATAAGAACAGCCACACATGCAAGAGACCCTTCACAGATACCTTGTCTCTGCAACTTTAGATTCTACAGAAAGACCAAGTTGCCAATCCTCAAACAAGTTAGGATACTCTTCAGGATCGGCCAATGAATCAGCAGCTTTTGGATTGACCTTCATAAGATGCAAAGTTATTCAGATGATTCAACCATTTATATCATTAATCAAAATTACAAAGTTCCAAAATTAAATCAAAGTATTACAGCAAGATATTTAACATGAAAACCAGAAACATACAAGTCAAAAACATTCATGTTGTGAGGGTAACAAATAATAAGGTAGAAATAAAATATCACACCTATTGCAACAGAAACGAGATGAAACCTACAATATTGGCATGAGGTAGGAAATTAGAAAAAAGAAAATGCAACCAAGAATTCTAACATAACCATATTGCCAGAATGATAAAAGGCAGAGATGTTTTCTGAACTTTTGAGTGAAAGTTGCCAACTCAATTGACCTTGAAAAATACCAATTATGTTGTCATGTCGACCATATCCTTGAATATGAATGAAAACAATTTTTATCCTTTTAAATATAGAATGAAATTTTGGTAAGCATTATGAATATAGAATGAAATTTTGGAAAGAAGGGTATCAGCATTATGATGAGCAGTTTTCAAGTGACTCATTCCATAAGAAGATGGCCAAAAATTTTAAATCATGAATCAGAAGGCAAATAAAAGGAAGAATGCTGCCTCCATTGATTCTAGAAACTGACATATATTAAAATTTCTAAATATTCATTAAATCAAGATAAAGTGTAAGCAAATTGAATAAAAAATCAAGTACATTTGAACACAACCTTGTCAAGAAAACAGATATAAACAGAGGAGGCAAATAAAAACCTTGCTCAGGTCTTTTCTCCAAATAGCCATTATTTCTGAAACCTTGCTTGGAAGGTAAGAGCGTGCCATCAGAGCAGCCTCTGGAATTCGATTGCTGAAAAGGGAAAACTTCAATAATATAAGTAACTGAAATTACAAGAAACACGGTTTCACATGTCAAGTACTCAAGGGATTACCTTTCAACCAAAAGCTGAAGGCAGTCCTCCAATTTACCCAACATGAACAAACACAGGAATGCAACATTATTCTTTCCTTGTTCTTTTGAAAGAGTTGCAAGTTTTGATATCCCTTCAGCATCTCCCAAAGAAGAATATAGCAATAATAAACCACTCAAGTCCATTGCATGTGTCATACATTCTTCAGCCATTTCAAGCTGTAATAATATTACCCAGAATTAGTACACACAAAAAGTACAAAACATTTAAAAATATGTAAAAAGAGACAGAATCACAACTATAATTGACAAGAAAAGCATGCACAAAAACACTACAATGAAGACAGGCTAATCATTTAGCTTCCAGTTTCATGAAAATGATGACCAAAGTCAACAATGTCTACTGATCAAGGAGATGCTCCTATACCAACTTGTTAGTAGAGAAATTTCACTCATGATAAATGAACATGGACAACATTATATAGAGATTTATGACCTGTCAATTACACCATAATATAGGTATGGAGAGAATTAAATGAAAATGTAATGGTATGTGATTATCTGTTGTAATTTATAAAGAGAAGTGACAGTGAAACAATGAATTCCATTAAAGGTGAGGCAATACCTTTCCAGTTGACATAGCTAATTCTCCTAACTGTTTCCATTTTGACTCACTCTGAACTTCTATAGCAATATCCTGCAAAAGAGAGAATATGAATCTTTAGTGAGATAGAAATTGTTAGGCAATAGTAACTAGAACTAACGTTGCTCAAGACAATTAGTCAAACAAGAGATGTAACAGTCACACATGCTAAACAATCTAACAATCCTATGACTTACCTTTGCAACATCTAATTTGCCAAGCTGAATGGCTAGTTCAAATCTGTAATCAGGATCTGTAGCAACTTCTAGAGCATCCTCTATCATACCTCGTGATTCCAAGAAATGAGCCACACTACCAATCAAGCAAATTATTCATTAAAATCTAAGAGATGATTCAATAAACATAACTCAGTAACACAAAACGAAAAAGATGACAAATTTATAAAATAAGCAGATTTTAGGATGAACAAATATCAGCTGAAGGGAATGGTGCCAGCCACACAATCACTGATTCTGAGGATAGGTCAACATTTGAGATTTCAAGCTAGTCAATGCAAGGACCATGACACAACATATTATGCAGATATACAAGTATAAGATCTAACCAATAAACATAAATATTTATCAAGAAATGGCTCATCAGAAGCTAAAAGGTCAAACATTAGCAGTGATAAAAAAGTGGAGAGAGATTTTGCAATAGATTATTTCCAACCCTTTTTTGACTAGTTATGAAAAAAAGCAATTCACAAAACTTACGGATTGGTAAAATAAATTACACCAATATAAAATAAAATAAAATAAAATAATCTTCTTCGTTAGCCAGTTAAATGGTGCAAATGGGTCAGATGTACCTATTGTGGTGCTCTTTAGGAATTGTAGGTAAGATTTCATTGGCCTTCTCATAGTCTCCACGCATCACAAGAGTCTTGTACTCAATCAAGCTGAGAAGCAATGTGTATCCCATAACACTGCAAATAAGGGCAAGAAAAAGAAGAAGAATAAGAAATCCTTCATAACAAAGCTAATACACATTTGATTTCAAAGAATGTCATCTACCAGCAAAACTTACTTAAACTCTTTGTCAATCAGATACACCCGACTTTGACTGGCAAGATACCCCAACAAGTACATAGGACGGTCCAAGTGATACATAGTTGTCACCTGTCGTCAAAACACAATTGACATGGAACAATCAAATATGTACAAATGGAAAAATATAGAAACATGGAAAGATTTCAAACGAATGATAAACAGAAAAGAATACCTCTCCACCAACACAGTAATTAAGTCTCCATGAAGAGTTGTTGTAAATAAAACAATCCCCAACCCATATACCAGTCCTAACACGCTCATTAGTTTCATGAAGAAGCTCAAATGCATCCTCTACTCCTTGTTCATCCACTGGTCTTCCACTATCTAAGTAAGACTGAACAACCTCCCGCTGCAAAATGAAATACCAAATTCAGTTTTATTACTTTTATATAATACAGAAATGCATATGCATTAACAGACAAATGGTGTAGTAGATACTGGCCAACAAAATTTGCAATCTAAGATGTATTATATTAAAAAGGAGACTTACATTGTACTTTAGGATGTAGAATGATGTATCACTGGCAATTGCAACTAAGTCACCACTATCAGCCCAGTAGAGATTCTAACATTTTGGAAATAGAAACGGCAATTTATCTTAGCAGGTGAGAGGTTTAAAAAAGAAAACTTAGAAAAGTAATTGATTCAAGCTATTGTATCTTACTTTAACTGTGACATCAATTCGTCGAATCAACCTGCACTCAGCCCAATCATAAAAACAGATGAAATCGTTTGAACACATTGCCAGTAAAGTCCCCCCATAAATTCGTTCAGCAGAGAAGGTTGGCCGAACACTCTTCTTTTCCTGAAAAGGTTATCAATTCACGTAGCCCAAGATTACTTCCTATATATTAATTACAGGGAAGAGATTATTTTTCAAATATATAGAGGAGGGTTTTTCTTAGCAGTAAAACATGAATCAAAGCATATACATTTAACATAAAATAAAGAGAAAATCTAAATAACAAAATACAAACCTGAAAATTTTTGCTGAAAATCTTGATCTTTGATGTGCTTTCTCTAACAGCATATTCTCCATCGGATGACCAAACAAATTCCAACGCTGAGCCAAATGACCTATTTCTCCAAGCCAAAGCTGTATATATAATGTACTCACCATCTCCACATACAACAACAAACCTCCCGTTGGGATTATGCCTTAGGCTCTGAGAACAAGATACATTAGAGGTTTAAAAGTTAATATCATATCCAGCCATAAACACAGATTATGAAAAATAAATTTAGGGCTAATTTTCTAAAATTAACCAACCCATGAAATGAAGTGCTCTAATTTTATCTAACAAAATTAAAAAGGCTCAAAACTCGGCATTCAGCAATGCCTCACAAATCACAATTTGAAAGGCCAGCACAACATCAGCCTTTTAAAATTCAAGTCTTATTTTACATTGATAAACTACAACTATGTTAAGGATACTACAATCAGAACATATATTTACATGTACTCTCAAAAAATATACCCTTAATCACTGAGAAAGGTTACAGAACACAACAAAAGCAAAAGATGTGGAAACAATACTTTAATATCAAAATGATGGTAGAGCAACTCACCTGTGGGTAAAGATCACAGGTTCCCAACTCCTTAACAGCCAAAGGTAATCTTTCTCCATCTGTGACCTAAAATGCAAATGAAATGACAAGGAGTGTAAACCTTAAGAAAATCAAATTGACTGCAATGCCATGAATGCAGTAAAGGAATCATTAAGTAAATTTGAAACCTCAAAATCTGCTCCAACACTCTTAATGTTCACAGTTTGAATTTCATTGTGCTTAGCCCATATAATCTTTCCACTGTTATCCATACTAGCTACAGGCACTTCACGACCAATTTTCACCATAATGGTACCTTCATCATACCCAATAACAATCCTGTACAGATGAAAATAATAGTATAGAGTTTAGAGTACTGAGGGGAGAGTAAGAAATGTCAGAAAAATTAACAAAGTAAATTCACAATGCATCATCACCTGACAACATTAATTAGAATGCAGAAAGTGAAATGAATACAAAAAATAAAATATGATTTCTTACATGCTTTTTGGACATTAGGTCCTCTAAATGAGTGACACAAAAATGGATGATTTATAGATATCTCTACTATTAAGATGGAAAACAAATCTCATTCCAATATTAAATTGTTAGAGACTTTAATTAAAAGAATATACCTCCGAGAACCTTTCATATGTCCAATAGCCCAAACTCTCTCAAGACCATAGTTCAACGTATTTTCAAGCCTGTACAGAATGCAATAGGGTTCAGAAGTCTAAATTAAGTATTCCTGAGCTCCATTAGACAACCAGTTTTAAAGGTATATAAACACCAGATATGATAGGAAAACATTAGTTCACATAAGAAAGAAGAAATGATGTACCAAAAAAAAAAAAGAAGAAGAAGAAGAAATTGAAAACTAAAAAGAAAGTGGTAGTACAATGCCTGAAACTCAACATTCTTTTTTTTTTTTTTGACCAGCATCCAGCCAAAACCATTAAGGATTTTTAATTCTTCAAATGTGCAAAATTAATAACTACAAGATGAAGTAACTAGCAAACAGTCAAGTTAAAAGTTGAATTTGAATTTTTGTATAAAACTTTTATTCAAAATCAATAACTACCAAAGATGAAGTAAGCAGGCTCCAATTCTTAAAAACTACAAAAAATTTACAGTTCAATAATTACCTATAAGTGGTAGCATGCCAAATGCGAACAGTGCCATCCTCAGAACCAGTAATTATTATAGGAAGTTCAGGATGGAAACAAACTGCAGAAACATTGTGAGTATGACCTTCCAGTGTCTGAACACAACTTTTGGTTTGATAGTCCCACACCTACTTTCATAGAACTCATTTGTGAAAAATTCCAAAACATTTATTTACTATCAAAACATAACCAAAAAAGGGGGGGGAACTTGATGCAGACCTTAGCAGTGTGATCATCAGAACCAGTTATTAAATAAGGCTTGTCACCACCTGTAAAATAATCAACGCAGTTCACCCCTTTCTGATGGGCATCCAAAGTGAAATTTGGGTCGGGGGAGCCAAGATTCCAAATCTAGAAATTCAATAAAGAGATGGATTTTTACCATGGTTAGAAAAAATGTTCCAACAAATATAAGTAGGACATAAAAGGCCCTTTATACCTTAATGGTACGGTCAAGAGATGCGCTAGCAAAAGTATTTGTGTCCTTTGGGTTAAAAGTGACTTGCATTACATAGTGTGAATGTCCCTCAAATATCTGAGTACACGCCCAACCCTTCTCCCAATCCCAAAGCTTTATGAGCATATCATCAGATGAAGATAGCACATAAGGAAGAGTGGGATGGACTGCCACACATCTAATGTAATCCGTGTGTGCCTCAAATACTTTAATCTTATCCATTGTATTGTAGTTGTATACACGAATAAACATATCATCAGCTCCAGCAACGACCCACTGTTTGCGTGCTACAAACTTTGCAGACCTAACTGCAAACAAAAGACATTGATTTCAGAGACTAGTTATCACTTCAGCAGGATGAAAGAGAGAAAAAAAAATGAATGTAATCATACTAAGATAAATGCAATATGAAAATAGATATATACCTGGTAACTCGGTTACCTCGAACGACTTAGCCATGGTCTGGGTGGAGTATCAAGGAGACAAATATTAGCACTAGATGTCATAAAAAATTTTCAAATAATTCAAATTCAAGAGAGTACCTAGAAAGTAATCACACAAAATAGGACCATCTATGAAGATTGAGTACTAGTCTCAATTCCTTCTTACAAACAAGAAGAGCAAAGAAATCCACTAGAAAGAAAGTACGAAGCACTTTAAAATGATGAGAGATGATAGATTATATAATTTATTAATGTTGCCTGTTTAATCATTCATTCAACAAAATTAAACAATAGTTTCCATGACAAATCTCATAAGACTTATGAAGCTCGCGACAACAGATAATGGAAACAATGGAGCCACCTTGCAACCAATATTTATGAAGCTGATTAAATTTTTTAACGTAAACCAATATCCATGACAGCATCCATTTTAACACACAAATGTTATATATGTTAAAACAATGTCCATGAGAATTAACAAAAACCATAACCAGAAAGCGTATGTTCCATATTGGTGCAGTTCTACTAACATAGACCATGAACAATAAACCCATACCTGGGATTGGTAATTCCAGATGCACACAGTTCCTGAATATAAACTTGCCAGAATCCTTCAGTAAGTGGTACAATAAATGACATTAGTCCTCAAAATAGTAACATGTTGCCGTATGAAATATGAAATGTATTGAAGTTGAATGCTAAGCAAAACAGCTCCCAAGAGCAAAATTACCATGGTTCTGTTGGATGGAGATCTACAGATTTTACTCTTTCTGATCTTTGAGCAAGTTTCCTCTGATCCAACAATATGCAAATTGCCACAATAAGTTAGAGATCGAATCCTATAACTTAATAATCAAGCTAAGTTAAAGATTAATACCTTGATTTCAAGTCTGAGAGGCTGTTAACACATAAGAAACAACACAAAGAAACACAGAATCAGTTCCATATCAAACACCAGATTTGAATCCAACTTGCAATTAAAACATCACTTTGATAGTCTACAACTAAGAGAAATGAATGATAATTTAGACAAATCGCCTTTCGCTTTCCATTCATTTCTTTGCAGCCAAACACAAAGCAAATCGCTCAAATCCTAGCATTGACATCATATCAAATGATTTGGAAAAACTACCGAATTTACACGTCAGATCTCAACTAAATTCAATTCCCTAACACTCCCTTCGGCTGCACATCAACTAAATGACAATTCAACCGTAACGTCGAAAGCTGCAGCTGATCCCAATTCTTCGCATTGCATTCCATAAACCAAATAGAAGCTCAAACAAACCTAACGAAGCCACTAAAATTCATACAATTAAGCGAATAACAAGAAATTACCCCCGAATCGAAGCAGATTTCAACCAGATCTAATGCAGAATCGAACAGATCATGATATTCAACTCACCATTTTTGCAGATTAAGTCCTTCAAAAACAAACTGCTCGTCGAGATCAAGGATTGAGAGATCGATGAAAAGAGGGAAGAGATTGAGAAGAGTGGTTTTTGGTGTTTGGAAGAAATTAAGATTTGGGGAGCCGTGTAAAATATGTAGGAGAGGGGAGGGGAGAGAGATGCTTTGTTGTGAAGGGAAAAAGATTTACGAGTGTGCCACTGGCTTCGGGGTGTTACTGTTGATGGATCTTGGGGGTGTGTATGTGGACGGTGGAGATTCGAGGTGTACGGGTCTATTCTGGTGCTAACAACGTGTTATAAAGATCCTGGCTGTGACAACTGACGATATGCCATGTTAGTACGCTGGGCCATGCTTTGGGGCAAATATAGCAAATTAGGTCTCTAATTTTGATTATTTTTTATAAACAGAATTTTCAAATCTACCCGAGGGATAGATTTATTTTAAAATAAAAATATATTATTTTTTAAAATTATTAATTAAAATAAATTACTTATTATTTAATGAAAATATTATCACACATCAAAAGTTCATATACCACTTAAGCAAATGTGTAATAATATTATATATTAAATAATAAGTAATTTATTTTAATTAATAATTTAAAATATAATTAATCCTTTCATTTTTTTTAAGCAGCTGACTTGTCTCTGTCTAAGGGATATATTTAGAGGTTTTGCTGTTTTTTATATGAGATCTCCAACTTCATTTTTTTTCTTGAAAAACTGTCTCCAATTTTGAGTGCAGAATCACTGAATCAGATTAGCATTGGAGTCGCAGGTAAAAGTAATCCAAAAAAATGTTACAAGAATCATCAAATATGAATCGATTGTTTGCACTTTTTTTTTTTTTCTGTTCATATGGCAATTATCTTTGGTTTTGGGATTCGGTATGCTGCTTTGTTGAAGAAATGTGCACTTTTCCTTTTTGGCTTTTGCTGAACGATTTCTGTAGCATCTAGTTTTTGCACCTTACTTCTTCAAGAGAGAATTGAACTTAATTTTAATTAGTGATTGCAATAGGAGCTGTAGGCAGAAAGCATCCCAACCTTTAGGATTTGCAGAAATTTATTTTTTGTGGTTGAATTGATAATTGAAATGAATTTGCACGCTGAAACTTATACAACTACAACAGTTTTGAAGACCCTTATTATAACTGCTTCATACTGGAAATTATAACAAACACATCATCAACAGAAAAACATGACAGCCAAACATAAACTAGTCCTCCTAAGGACCTTTTACTCTAGTCACATGCTTGCTAGCTTCTTAAATAGCAGTAGATGGAAGTTATTTCTTTGTCCTAAACTATGAAAAAACAGTTTATTATTCCCAACACTCCTTGATAATAGTTGTTGTTTATGCCCGCATGGCATTATGCTTTTGAGACTTCCTCTTCCCTTTTCTAGTTTGCAGCATCAGAGCCTTTGGAGCTTGTAACTTTCACCATAATGGTCCCGTTATCGCAACCAAACACAACTCTGTTATCAAAAGAGATGTGTTAGTTAGAAGAATTATGTAAAAATTGAGTTGTAGCTTAAGTAGAGAGTGGTTCTGTCAATAACTTCTATTAGAAAAGGCTGAAAATGATATGGAGGAACTTACTGCTTTGAATTTTTTATGTATCCAACAGTCCAAACTCTTTGAAGACCATAATTCAATGTGTTCTCGAGCCTGCAAGGTAATCAAATCAATTAAGAACTCTACAAATTCGCAAAATATATGTATAAAGAGGGAGGTTTAAACTGTGGGCTGTGAATATCAACACAAAGAGAAGAGCACAGAAAAACTGCGATTCTCATTGCAACAGTCAAGAAAGGGGAGTATAAAAACTAATTTCACCTGAAAACTATAATGTACAACCAGACAAATCATTGATTTCACTGAAACTCTACCTGTAACTTGCATTGTTCCATAGGCGGATAGTTTCATCCTCAGAACATGTAATTATGATTGGAAGCTCTGGGTGGACACAAACTGCAGTAACATTGTGTGCATGACCTTCTAGTGTTTGTACACAGCTTTTGGACTGATAGCTCCATACCTATTTTGACAAGATTAATTGATCAAGACATGTAATGAATTTCCCTTCATGGAAAATAAATAAATAAGAAAAGAGTATTAAGCCGCAAACCTTAGCAGTGTAATCATCTGAACCACTTATTAGATATAGTTCATCACCAGAAATGAAGTAGTCAATGCAATTAATTCCCTTCGAATGTGCATCCAGTGTAAATTTTGGATCTGGAGAATCAACATTCCATATCTGAAATAGAAACATTAATAAGCTTAAACAGTGCATTCAGACTACCTAATCATTAATCCTGGGCTTTAAAATTTACACACTAGTACAGTGGTACCTTTATAGTGCCATCAAGTGATGCACTTGCAAAAGTGTTGAAGTCTTTCGGGTTGAACGCAACTTGCATCACATAGTGATCATGGCCTTCAAATACCTGAGTGCAAACCCAGCCTTTCTCCCAGTCCCAAATCTTTATAAGCTTGTCATCGGATGATGACAGCACATTGGGAAGGCTAGGATGCACAGCCAACCCCCTAATGTAATCGTCGTGTGCTTTAAACTCTTGGATAACTTCCATTGTCTCCCAATTATATACACGGATAAATGCATCATCAGATCCAACAACAATCCAGTTTTCCCGCACAATGAACTTTGCTGCCCTTACTGCAACCACATGTGACACATTCGTGTTAAAGATGTCACCTTACCAAGGAGTGAGAAACAACTTTAACATTTCCAAGCAAAAACATATCAGGTCAGGTACCTCGTGATTCAGTGACCTTGAAGGATTTCTCTATTTTCTGCAATAGCATCAAATTAAACAGTTTTTAACTTAATAATTTAGAGTAATCATGAAAATAGTAACTACTTTTACTTTCTAGTTCCAACGCCTTACCTGGGACTGGTAGTTCCATACACACACACTTCCTGAATGCAGGCTAGTTAAAATCCTGCATTGAAAGTTGCAATGAACAACAGCTTAGATGATATTATGGTTTAGTTCATGATTTAGGAAAGGATACAGGAAACTGGATAGCATATAGGTGAATACTCTAGTTCAATAACTTTGTAAAACTAATTACCATGGTTTAGTTGGATGTATGTCCACAGATTTGACTCGGTCTGAAGTTTGGACAAATTCCTTCTGTCAAAAATGTATCAAATTAATTAAGAGTTAATGTGCAGGGCAGGGCAACAACACAAATTTGGCAAAATAAATCAAGTTTGAAAGAGAGAGAGAGAGAGAGAGAGAGAGAGAGAGAGAGATTTAAAGGTTCGTAAGCATACCTCAATTTGAAGCTTGAGAGACTGTTGCATGTGAAATAGTCATGTAGACAAGATGAGACATAAAATAGTCAGCAAGTAAAAAAGGTGAAAAAATGCTGAAAAATTTTAATTGTATTAGACTGCATAATTTAAATCATTGAATGGAGATAAATCTTTTGATATTAGAGTTGCCTCCAATTTTAATGATTTATGTTTTATAATTTAGTATAGTACAAATTGCAAAATAAGAAATGATTAAAAATAGTATGAACAAATAAATTGCAATTAGCTTCTCACCATTTTAATGGTTGGTTTGTAGTGCTGCAAAGTGTAGGATTGAGATGAATGGTATATTGTCGAATTGCGAAGATTATGAATTTGGTATTGGAGGAGGAGAAGGCAGGGTCTCCCTCATATAGTAACGGAAGCTTAGTTGCTAAGGAAAAATGGGGAAGACTTTCTTCTGCATTCCCTATCGTGTCATCCAACGTTGTCTCGTCCGTTGATTGTTACAAGGACTTATAATTGCGATGGAGATGAGGTTAGGAGTTGCTAAACTCGGTTTGACCGTGCAAAAACGCACAAAAACTTGATGGCTGGCTGGATGTTTCTGAGAAGATGAGAGGAAAAGCCCATCCACCATGATGGGTAGCCTGTGGCCAACCCACCACCCACCCCACTTCCAACCAAAGAAAAAAAGGAAAAAACAAAACAAAGAGGAAAAGGAATTTCTATCATGCGCCTTAAATCTTATTAAATGTTAGATTTTTAATTAATTTTACATAAATTTTTATATTAAATTTAATTAAAATAAAATATAAAATATAAAATATAAAATATA